CACAAAATCAGTACTGGCTTAAATTGATTATTTATTTGCTTTTTATTCCACAGGAATATCTACACTAGACTATTTGAAAACTATTTTTGTTGGTTATTTAATATGCTGAGATTTGTTCTCTAGCTCTAAAAGCAAAAACTTCTTCAAATGACTCAGTAGCTCAATTTTCAGATATGTTAAATCAGTCATGAGAAAGACCCATCTCTGATGTCAGTAGAATAAGGCCAAGTCTGCTAAAAATATCCTAAAAAGAAGGATTGACTATGATTCCTTGCATTCTCATTAAAACTATAGAAATCCAATTATTCAAATTTCCTTAACTGCTTTCTAGAGAAATCTCAAAATGAAGAATTCCAAACCAACGAAAACAGTAGTTTCTATATCCGAAGTGTTTCAAAACAGTTTTTCAATTGGAATTTCCTGGATATGAGGTTTTGTTTATCTTAAGGTGACCAATCGTCCTCCTTTAGGGAGGACAGTCCTTCTTTTGTAAGTTCTGTCCTCTCTCGAAAAGTGTCCTCCTACATGTTCTCCTTTTCGATATTTGAAGACTAATCTGTAAATCTCCGTATTCGATCGATGCCGAGCCAATCCGTTGCATGTGATGTGATGTATTTATATTTGACATGATTCGTCAAGGCTCGGTACAATGTGGCGAGATGCGATTATAAGACGCTTGCACTCTGCACAGGAGAATTGTTTTGAAAGAGTGCGCCATACATAAGAGTGCACCACGTGCAAGTGGCTTTGTTTACTTCTTATCGAAACACGACACAGCACACACACACGCATTAGACTCTTTTTTCTCAGTGAATATTCAATCATACACAGGTGAGCACAAGTAATTCATGTTTTATTAATTCATTATCTATTTAATAATTTCCAAATAAGTATAATTGTATTTACAAGTTTATTCGCTTATGTTATTGTTTCAGTTTTAATAATTAATTTTATTTATTCATAATGAATGTGCTTGATACTCTAGCTGCAGCACTTGCCGTAAAATTCAATATTGAGGATATTTCCAATATATTGTTAGAAGATGATACATTGACCAAAAATATTCATTCAATGGAAACGTACTCATTTAAATAATAATTAATAGGCATGTAAGCATAATTACAATATAAAATGTTATTGTTACAAATGTTTTTATTATGCATTTATCATATTATAGCATATTCTGTATTATTGTTACAAGGAATAAAATGTTTTTTTTATTTACAATATTTTTTTCTTCAATTTATTTGTGTCCTCCTTCTCATTGTAAAAAAGTTGGTCACCTTATTTATCTAAAACAAAAGCTCCTGTTGTTTTATGAAAAATAGGTTTGTCAGAATTAGAGTTAGAAGGGACCTTGAATGTCTTCTAGTCCAATCCCCTGCTCAAGCGGGAGATTCTATACCAATGGTGGCGAACCTATGGCACGGGTGCCAGAGGCAGCACTCAGAGCCCTCTCTGTGGGCATGTGCACCGTCGCCCCAGTCCTAGGCCTTCAGCTAGGTTTTGGTTCAATCAATCAGTCAATTTCAACTTCTTGCAGGGAAAAAAAAGATCTTGCAAAGTTGGAATTGATTGATTAAACTTTTTAGTCCCACCAGTCTGCTGTTACCACTGCAGCCATGCTCACCCAATGGGCCACACCCACCCAATGGGCCACACCCACCTGGCACCTGACGATGCATAAGTGGGTTTTGGGTTGCAGTTTGGGCACTCGGTCTCTAAAAGGTTCGCCATCACTGGCATAAGCATACCTTCCCTTTCTGTTCCCCCTCTTCTCTCTCTCCAGTAGTCATCTATAGTGCTTATAATTGTTTATTAAATTTGATTATTCATTCAGATTACCAACTATTATTAGTAACTTGTAACAAATGTATAAAAAAGATTATAAATTCTTGCATTTTAAGATTTTAAAACACAGCAAGGTTTTTCCCTAATACAAAGAGAAAGAGTATCTGCTGCATTGAAAAGGTAACAAAAGAAAGTTGAGCAATTCCAAGTGCAATAAGAGAGTTTTTGTATGACCTGAGGTGTTTTGAAAAATGTGTTCTTTTTTCAAGGATATTGTGAAAACAGATACAATATCAAAAAGGGATACTAGAATGTCAAACTCTGAAGTGATTAAATTCGTGACATGGAGAATAATGTAATTGCCATAATGGGCAAAAGAATAATTTTTGACAAGAAATACAAACATTCTTTAAATATGAGCATTCTTTAAACATGCAGCATATGCTTCAGTTCTATTGTGAATGAAAATAAAAGCAAAAAAGATTCCAAAATAAACAAAATAAGGGACAGAATTGCTTTACAGTCTGGAATGTCTGGGAATTGGTATGCTTTGCAAAAATTGCCTGAAATTATAGTAAAGAAAAATCTTGTGGGCTGTTTGTTTTTTCGTTAATGATAAAATAAATAATATGATATATAAATGGTGTTAATGATATATCTATAGATATATAGATATAGATACAGATATATAGATATTATAACTTAAAACTATATCCCTTTAGCCAAAGCGTCTCTAAACATGTAAAAAAGGAATATTAAATATACTACAACAGATACACCATGCAGAATTACAATACAATTATAATTAATATAATTTAAATAAAACAGTTAATATTATTTTAAATAAAAATCCACATATTGGGACAAAAGTTGTAGAGTATGAGAAACAATCCAGTAATCTGCTTCTTCTATTATGTCCCCTTGAAATTACCTTCAGCTTGTTTCCTAACAGAGAATGAGGGGTGTCAAAATTTAAGTTGTCCTTTCTGCTTTTAATTTCCCTTTTAATCCACACATCTCTATAACACTGCCATTACTGGTCAATTTTCCTGTAGATACCATATTGATGTTCAGAGCAGGGAGGGAAACGCAGGCAGATCAACCAATAGCTTTACTTAAGCAGACTTGCAAACAATAATATAGGACACTTACCATTCTTCAACAAGCTAGAAGGGAGGCAATTGGTATAAGATAGCAGATAGCAATAGTGTCAATGTAATTTATTGGCTGATTATGTGTGTCATCAAGTTGTTGTCGACTACATAGACCACACAAATTTTCTCAGTGACAATCTAACCTTAATGTGGTATTTCAAATCTTCCAATGGTGTAGCCTTTGCCACGGTAACTAAGTCTATCCATCTTGCTGCTGGTTGTCCTCTTCTCTTTATTCCTCACCAGTATTGGAGCCTTCTCCAGAGAGCTAGGTCTTCTATTTTGCTTCTCCAAAGCCCAACATTTGCTTCCAAATTCCATGTAACTTGCAGTTTTGATCTTTGTTGATATAGACATATCACAACATTTTAATATATTTTCTAAAGACTACATAGCCGCTATCGAGTACTAGTCTGTGGCATATATTTTAACTACTTGTTTCTTAATTACTATGTTTTTTAACTATTATCAGCCATAATAGTTAAGAAACAAGTAAGATAGTGAAGATATCCACCATTTCACTATATTAATTGTCATTTCTAAGGCTGGTTGTTGTCATTACTTCAGTCTTCTTTAGGTTTAACTTTGGTCCCATTTTTTGGTTTTTGTCTTTTATTATTAGACTCTTGACTTTTATTTCTAGAACTTGCAAATCATTTTCATTTTGGTCACTAATGTCATCCACAAAGGATCTTTATTTATGCTGGTATAATATTCTGATGACTTAAGGATTGTGGAGTGCACATTAACTGGACAGTGTGAAAACTCCCTTGGTCAACTTTCATCTAATTCTAAGTGTGCATCTCTAATATTCTGCAGTAATGGGCAATGCATTAATATGTGTGATCTGTCTGATTTTACAAATTGTGTTAAGCCATAATGTGAAATTTGTATTTATTTATTGAAAGCCATGCCATGATTACCATTCATAAAATCAAGATGAAATAAGAATAAATAATATAAGTATATTTAACTAATTATTTAGATAAATTAATATTAAAATTATACATTTATTTATAAATATAATTTATAAATGGTACATAATCAATCAATCAATATAAATACTAAATGTAAAGCATACAATGATAAATATGTGATGTTTGACAGACAGGCATTATAGAATAAAGGCATAACTAAACCGAGAATACCAAGTCTGAAATGTGAAGGGAAAAATTCAGAGCTTCACCTGGACTGAAAGTTGATAGCAGGTGCCTGGCCTCCAGAGAAGAGGGAGCCCTGCTGCAGATTTTAATATTCAATCTGTTTTTGGAAGAATTCCCCCTAGCATTTGAGTTTTGGCTGTTTGTTACACAAAAAAAGTGCTTAAAAGAAAACCTATTCTTATGAATGAGACTTGCCTTTTTAAAAAAGCTTTAAACAAACCAGCTAATAAAAAATAATAATCCTGCCAGTATAAAACCTTATAGGGGTTACAGTAAGTTTGGTTTCCCAGTAAAAAACTTCCATGTAACACACCTAACGATTTACAGTAACAATGAATGCAGTTCTTGAATGGTCTTGGTCTGTTTTCTTGACCAGCATGTAAACATTTTTCTTCTATTTGCTAATAAATACCACATCCAAAGGGTCTCAACCAGCATGTAAACATTTTCTTCTATCTGTTAATAAATTCCACATCAAAAGGGTCTTAATTTGGTGGGTAACATACGGTTTGGACTGTAATATGCTCAGCATTACTACTCTAAGGTTGAAGAAAGTTTTAAATCATTTCAGAGGAACAAATGATGTGATGGGCAAAAATAATAGCGATTTACCTGTTGGAAACACCTTTATGTTTTACCTGTGATCATTCGTACCTCCCTAAAATTAACTGAGTATAAAGCTACATGGATTTAACGTAAATAGAGTGCACTGTGCGGTCACTCATAGAGACAGATGAAACACTGAACAGTGCAACGTCGTTTGAATTGGAAAGGCGACCCATTACCGCCTAGCCAGAACGAGCGTCGGCTTCCAAACGCGGTTTTCCAGATAAGAAACAAAACAAACTTTTTGCGCCAAAAATGACACTACTTTACTCCAATTAGTAAGTCTATGGATCTCTGCGACAACGGAGGCGTCGCTTTGCGGAAGAGGGCAGCGTCGGGAAGGAGGTGGAGGAGGGCGAGTACGATGCGGCGTGTGACGCATGCGTGTTCAGAAAGGGGGTTCTGCGTTTTCTGTAGGTCACCTGTGTACGATGTCTAAGGAGTGAGTGTCGAAGAAGGGGTTTAAGGGGAAATGGGAGGGGGTTACGAGGATCATGCCTGTGGAGTGAGCACTTCGGGTGCATTAATACTTACGACGTCATGCAAAGTCCCTTACTCGGAAATGGGACGAGGGCTCAGAAAAGGGTATAGACGTATCTTAAAAATCAGTACATGGGAGGGCGAGAGGGAGAGAGGTGCTGAGGTCATCGCATGACAGCCGCAGGTCTTTGGATGCGGGCGGGGCATGGCAAAAGATTGTTTGAGCAGCCTTGGGCATGCTGGTTGGACATAGTTCTTGCATTTTCCTTGCCTTTCGTCTATTTAAAGCTGAAACGTGGAAACGAACTCCCCCATTTTGTTCAGCTATTCCCACAGCTATAAAAATACCTGTAAAAATAGCCAAGGCCCTTGCTTGATATCTCAGTGATTTGTCTGCTTAAACGAAAAAGGATAAAAGATACTGGTTTTGCCTCTTAAGCCAAAAGTTGTAAGTGGCTCCAGAACAATTTCTGGTTTTGTTACATGCTAGCTGAGGCATTTTTCGCATGCTCTAGACATTCAGCATCTTTGCTTCTTCTTCACTGCTTTAATGAGGAAAGAAAAGGAACACGTGTGGTCTTAATCACAATACTTGAGAGAAAAGTAACTTGGCTTTCTAGGAGGTTGAGATGAAGTTGGTGATTTAGTTTATTATATGTTTTGCAGTGCTATGTGTTGTTTACATGATAACATAGAAATACTTTGGTAAGTAACGTATAGGTCAGTCAGTATGATGATATTTGTGCTATATAAAAATGAGTGAAACCTAACTTTACCTGGAAGAAACATAACCAAACACTTAAAATAATTTCTTAAAGAAAGTTATAAAGTAAGGGGAGCATAGGATGCTGAACATATCCCTCACATGGGGCATTTCCCTAATCATTTGAAAACATATGGGCCTCATCATTGTCAGAGTGTGATAAAAGCAGATCAATTCAGTCTGGCACTGTGGGCAATATAGGTAGTTCTCGACTTATGACCCCAATTGAGCCCAGAATTTATTTTACTAGGTAAAATAATGAGTTTGCCTCATTATATGACTTTTCTTGCTACAGTTGTTAAGTGAATCATTGCAATTAAGTTAGTAGCACAGTTGTTAAGTGTATCTGGCTTCGCCATTGTCTTTGCTTGCCAGAAGGACATCAAAGGTGATCACATGACCCCAGGACACTGCAACCATCATAAATATGAACTAGTTGTCAAGCATCTGAATTTGGATCACATGACTATGGGGATGCTGCAATGGTCATAAATATGAAAAAAGGTCATGTCACTTTTTTCAGTGCCTTTGTAACTTTAAATGGTCACTAAACAAATGGTTGTCTTCTATATAGCATCTCAAGACTGTTAGATTATATTTTTAAAGGAAAAAATAGTAATGTAAAGAGAAGCTTCAAAGTAGCTACAACTATTGGTGAAGTGATCAAAAGACAAAGATTACTGAAAATAATGGGCAATGACCAAGAATCTTAAAACTCTGTTTAGCTATTTTTCTATTTTATTATGGGAACTCTTATGTAGACTTGACAGACTTTGAATAAAGTTATAATTTTCCAGTTAGTACTGTTCAAAGATGTTCAAATATGTTTGTTTTTTTCCCTCTCAGGAAAGTAGAAATTCCAGGTCCACCCACATCAAAATGCATTCTGTATTGGAAAAGAAAGGTCAAGTCAGAATACATGCGTCTTCGACAACTCAAAAGACTTCAGGCAAACATGGGAGCTAAGGTAAAGATATGCTTTACCTTAAGCAGAATTTTTTTTTCCAGTAAACTTGAACCTCTGCACATTGGAATGGACAAACTCTGACTGAAAGAAACGTCGGTCTTGCAACTGACTTTCTCTCAGGAAGATGAGAAGTTAAAATTACATCTAAAAATATATATCAATCTATTCTCTATTCTGCAAATCCAGAGTCTATATTCAGGAGTTCAGGAAACTCCCTACAAACTGTGTAAACAGCACACTGCCTATCACTTTAGTGACAGCCATTGGTGCCCATATGCAAACTTTTTCTCTCTGATGCTCTCTCTCTTCCCCCATTAGTCTTCTTACTACTGTTGATCTGCTACACATCCATCCTGCCTGCTGAGAAGTATCCAAACAGTATCATACACACCTCTCATTTGTTTTTCTTTTGAGGGATTCTACAGGAGAAATATGCAGCAACATCTTCCATCTGTTTCTGAGGGAGAGGGGAAAACCTTTATTTGGGGATACCTGGAATTCCCCTCAACCCTTAAGTTTCACCAGAGTAGTGGGCAGTGGTGTTTCCAGCACAGAGGCGAGGCAAATTCCTCTGGCCTAACAGAGGTGAGCCGCTGTCTGAATATGTATAGATCCTTTTTTTGGTCATCAAAACACTTAAAGATTACATGACCCAATTATGGGGGGATGGGGGTAGTAGTAATGAAAGTGTGATAAAGTTTAATATATCTATTAATATATCTATATAATATATCTATTGTGCCCCAAAGCACAAAAAATATGAGGGTACAAAAGTTCAATTCCGGATAATGTGACTGCTATGCCTGTTAAAAATATGGGCAGCCTCTGACAGAAAAAGGTTGATTCTGATTAAAAAGAGAACATTAAAAAATTAAATGTTAAATATCTAGAATATCTATTTCTAGACCAAGCCAAATCCAAAAATGCTAGAGAATTCCTGGAAGCCTGGCACTCAGACAAATCAACCATCAATAGGCACATAGAGATAAACAACATCTACATACCATTCAAAAGAGATAATCAAAACAAAAAAAACTCCAAAAGACCAAAACACCTTCTCACCAGCAATCAACACCCAGATGAACAAAGATACATACCAAGATTAACTTTAGACCAACAATCAAGAAAGAAACAATACCCAATCAAGAATTACCAATTCAGACAAAAAAGCTAACAGTAAAACACCAAAGAACCACCAACACCACTCCCAGCAACACTGACAGGGCAAGCCACTGGAATATAAAATGAGAGCAGACCCCTTTCCCTTCTGTCACTGATGATATTGCCTAGTTTGGTAATGAAATTTCTGCAAAAAAAACAACAAGCTCAGAGTCCACAAAGGACTCCATTGTAAAATATCTCCCTGAGAAACAATAAAATTCATTTCCTCATAATTATGGGTACAAAATGACTTACCATGTCAACATATTTGGTGCTATCATGAGAGATGCAGGAGGTAGACTATTAGTATGATTGTATATTTTGATATGAAAAGGATTGATTTTGATTGTTTCAGGAGAGAAATGGCATAATTGCAATCTGCCTACCTATATAAAATAATTGGTAGCCAGTAATCCAGGTTTAAAAATGAGTTCCTTTTGCTGGGTTCCTGTGAATTGGGATCCCTCTTCCATGATGGCAAAAGGTTGATCTGTTTTTTTCTCTTTCCTCTATTCCTGTAGAATTTATTTGTGTCTAACTTCACAAAGATTCAGGAAAAGATAAACATCCTAAACGATGACTGGAAGAAGCTTAGAATTCAGCCTATTCAGTCTATGAAGCTGGTTGGAGGAAACCCTTTTCTCAAACAGGTGTTTGCAGCAAATAATGTACTATATTTCCTTTCCTAAGTTCATATTCACACTCCCACACTATAATATCGCTACTTTCCATGTCATTATGAAGTTCCGCATTTACTCAGAGAAAAAATTTAGGTCAGTTATGTAAAGTCATCAGTATGAATAGAAGTTTTTTTTTTCAGAATATGAAAGATCATTCAGGATTGTCCAGCAAACAGCAACAGGAAAGGATGACATTCCATGTGCAAAATTAGTACTTTTACTTCCTGCCAGTTGCTGCAAGATCCTCTGTAGCAGTCCTTTTGTGCTTTTAATTTCCTGATTCTTGTTGTGTTCAGTCCTTCTGTTTCCTAAGTCCTACAGTCGATTGATGTGTATCCTTTGGGAACAGAAGAGAAATAGGCTCATGAATTGGGATAATACATATTTTTCCCAGAATCATAACCGGTGGGCCTACTTTCAAAGTCATACAAACTAATACATCTGATCATGTTGAAAATGCCTGTTCACCAACTGACTGATCATAATCAATTCTTTCAATTCTATGTTTAGGGATAAGGGCTTGCAAGTTAGAAGGTATGCCAACAAGCAAGCTAAGTACAGTATTTAATTTGTTACCATCATACAATGCTTAACAAAATCCCCAGTCAATAAGTCAAATCAGAGAGGCATGTTTCTAAAAGGCATGTCTACACAAAATATCTTTAATCTGCTGCTTGAAAGCCTATAAGAAAGATCCATCTGGACCAAGAAGGTAAAAGAAACAAGACAGGAAGAGGTGAAGTACCTGCAAATTATGGAGAAACATGGATTAGGGTCTCCTAAAATGGCTTCAACAAGTTGCTAGATTTATATGGAAAGAGGTGATCTTTAAGATGTTTTGGTAATAAACCATTCTAGTCTTCATTGGTAAGTACCCAACGTGTTACAGTGGGCCTGGATAATAATATGATTATTAACTTGATATGATGATGGCCCTATATATCAAATCAGAATGCCTACCAAAAGTCCATCTTCCTCCCTCTGAATGTAGTGGTTCGTGGTGCCCTCTAGCGGAAGCAAGAGAGAAAACCATATTAGAAGATTCCCATATGATACTAAAGCATGGTCACTAAGGCACATCATATCTGTCTCCTTTAGTACCAGGAATGGATGAAAATATATTCAGCACATAGGGACTTAAGAGGGATGACTTGTATATTACTCCTTCTGACGGGGTACGCTTTTGTTCTCCTCCAGTGCACAGTTGAGAGCAGCTTCCCCACTTTGAGCACCCAGACTTTGTTCATGCGAACTCTAAACACTGTAGCCTTGGTGCCTATCATGTATTCCTGGTCTCCACTCCAGCAGAACTTCATGGTAGGTAATCAGCTGCTGCCATAATTCTGAGCTTGAATATGAATGTTTTCTTTTGAATCCAGAACATCTTTTAAGGCCTGGTTGGAAGGCAGTAGGGTTTCTTTGTGGAGTACTACCCAGTGCAAGAACATCTTCTGCTTTTCATTTTGAACCTGAAATACATGATATTTTTACTAAGGTTTGCACACTTGTTTATAATATCTGAATTGTCTCTTAAGGTAGATAGCACAGTTATTTATCTGATTACAGAAGTGAAATTTCTTGCTTGTCTACATTGTCTCCAGTGTCCAAAACATCTGGATTCCAGATGGAAAAAGATGGCATTTAGAAGCCATGTCTTGCACAGAAGATCAAGGAAGTTCCAGTTTGATTCTGCAAAATGACAGTGTCCTGTAAACAATCTGCCATTCTCTAATGAATCTTGTTTATCCCTAATCCTAGCTTCTGGAAGTTCAGAGCTAGGGAAATGCTGACAATACCAGAATTTACCTTCTAACATTTCTGATGAGGGGCTTCTCCATCCCTTCTCAGAAACTTCTTATCACTAATGAAGTCTGAGGGTTGGGTGGGGAATGGGAGTCTTCAGAAGCATGTATTCCAGTGATGGGCCATCCATTTTTTTTAACTTGTCATCTTACAAGTAAATGAGATTATTAGGTTAATAATTGCTCACAATTTTGATGCCTTTCTGTTGGTCACCCTCAGTCATTCTCCAAGGGCACAACATTTGGACAAAGCAATTTATGGGACTTTTGCTCCACATTAGAAGCATCTTATCTGGCAGCAGCTGTTGGATTCTGACAGTACTTTTGTATGTACCAAGCCTTCCCTGAGTTGGAGCTAAAAGGCACTTCTTGCATGCTGCTCTTCCTCTAGCAATTTTTGCATAAAAATAAGATATTTTCCTTAACTTAGTGAGCTGGTGTTTGTTGTGTGGATCGTGCTGTCAGACTGTATGGCCTTAGCTCCCTAATTCAAGATAGAAAAAAACATTCTGAACCCCCTTCTGCAGTAAACAGGGATAAAGCCAGAGTTTTTCTATTACAAATAAGCAAGATAAAATTATGTGAATCACTAGTGCCACCAGAACCTTCTCTAAAGACCACTGATTGAATGGCATGACCTTGCCTTCAAGAGTAAGTGCTCATGAAGAAAGACCTTGTGATGCTGGGGCATACTACGTCAGCCTTCCCTAATCTAGTTCCCTCCCAGATATGTTGGACTACAGCTCCGCTCCTCCTCCAGTCAGCATAAAGAGTGCTGTCTAGGAAAAGTCTTTACTGTGCAGTAAGATCAGCAGACATCCCTCTGGGTTCTTGTTAAGGTGGGCATGCAATCTGCCATTTGCAGGCTCTTCTGGTGAGTGGACAAGGGACAGCCACCTGCCTCCCTCAGGCTGTGTCTGCCCCCGTTTGCAGGTGGAGGATGAAACTGTGTTGTGCAACATCCCTTACATGGGAGATGAAGTAAAAGAAGAGGACGAAACCTTCATCGAGGAGCTCATTAATAACTATGATGGCAAAGTCCATGGAGAAGAAGGTAAAGGCTATACAGTCTTCCATTGGGATTGAAGGGGCCCAGATCATGTATAGGGAGGGAATTGAAGGAGAGAATTCTGTTTTTACAAGTCAGATTTGTCTTCGTAGGCACACAATGTTGTTGTTCATGAGGTTGAATTTTTTTCCATGTCTAGCTTTCAGTTCTTCCTTCCAGAATTGCTCCCAGGTTCTGTTCTGATCAGTGATGCTGTTTTTCTGGAGTTGGTAGATGCATTAAACCAATATTCTGAGGAAGAAGACGAAGGACACGATACAGTAGAAGGCAAACTAGAAGCTTTGAAGGAAGACCTGCCTGTCACACGGAAGAGGAAACGACTTACAATGGAAAGTATGTTTCTTCTTAACCATCATGTCCCTATGGGAGCCACATTCAGACTGCCATGACTTTGCAAGTCTTGCTGCTATGTGCTTCTTCCATTCAGTATCTTATACTAGGCAGTATGAATTGGCAAGAAGGGGGCTATAGATTCAGTTCTTGGGTAATGTTCTTCTCCAGCAGATTTTAATGGAAACATGCTTCAACTGGATCCTTCAAAGTTTATAGCTCTTCTCTTCCAACCCATAAATTATTAAATGAAATTAAGTAACAAAATAACTGTAGGCTAAACTTTAAGAGCCCCTAAAAGTACAATACAATTTTTATTCACAATTTCTTTGTGATCTTGTAGACTCTTGTATTTTGCTGGTGAAATTATAATGTCTGCATAACCATATACACAAGGAAACTGAGAAAAAGGCACCTGTTTGGCATTTTCTTCAAAATTGTTTTTATGCATTCTACAGCATAGTTTATTGTCTGATATTTGCCTGTTGTGGTTTCTTCCTAATTATTTTCTGAGCCAATCCTATCTTGGAAGAGCAGTATTCCAGGGAGAGGAATATTTTAATTCACAAAATATCAGCAGGCTTTCTTGCATGTCTAATGTAGGTAACAAGAAAAGTTCAAAGAAGCACTTTCCAAATGACATGATCTTTACAGCTCTTTCATCAATGTTTCCTGAGAATGGCTATCCAGAAGACATGAAAGAAAGGTAGGAATTATCTAATTCAAGCCAAGTATCATTTCGTTTTTCTAGTCTGGACATAATGTACTTTAATTTCCAAGATGGGTATCAGAAATACTGCCTCAAAAAAAAAATCTGAGCAGGGTCAGATATAGTTAATGGTGATTAAAACAAAAGGCTACCAGGAAGTCTCAGGACCATAATGTGCCTCAGGAGGAGGCAAAAACAAACTATACTCTTAATGTTGCCAAGAAAATTATTTGGATATGTCTCATATAGTCTAAAAAATAATATTATAATCTAATATATTTCTAATATTAATGTTACTAGTTTCTGGACAAGACCTGTTTAATTTGTACATATTTTAATCTTGTATTTTATATTTTCAGTGTTACATCATATAGTATGCCTTATTTTAATCATGATGCTTCTGATACGAATAAACAAACAACTTTCAGTCTGGCTAAAGTTTTACAATTTATGAATTTTGACTAGCAGAGTACTATCCAGTGTATAGTTTGCAACCAAATTATTACAGAAAAATAATCTGGAGTGTTAGTAGTGGTCATGCTTTTGTCTCCCCCTGCTGTCTGCTTTGGAGTGTTTCGCATTATTATCTCAAGCATTCTAACCATGCTTGTCATATGCAGAGGTTTGCAGCTGGTCTTCAAAATACACAATTCTGGTTCCTAGTTTGCTATGACAGTTAGCATTCTGCAAACTGCAAAATGCCTCTTATCTAAAAGTGTTCAATTTTATTTGAGGCAGTTTTAATGCTTGAACAATATGTTAGAAGTGATCTTCAGAGTGTGAAATGATAACTCATTCTCTCTTAAGTAACAATTTTAAGTACATAAGTGCAAACTGTTAGAATAGCTGCAGCCAGTCTTTCCATTGTTTGGAGCAACTTTGGAAGGTCTCTATATGACTTTGAATGACTCTTCTCTTCTCCACCTCATTTCTTCAGATATAGGGAGCTGACAGAAGAATCCGACATGAATGTGCTTCCACCCCAGTGCACACCAAATATAGACGGGCCGAATGCCAAATCTGTTCAGCGTGAACAGGCTCTGCATTCCTTTCACACACTTTTTTGCAGGCGGTGTTTCAAGTATGACTGTTTCCTCCATCGTAAGTTCCTGATACAATCTTTACCTCTTTCCTGCTTATTCTGTTCCAGTGTATGACATTTTCATGGGAAATGTTAGCAGATTATCTCAGGAAGGCTGATCGCTAGCAGAATCCACTGCCTTCTGTATAGATGCATGCATAACAATGTTGATTCCACTTTTTCAAATTATCCTAGAATGTCCACCTCCATTTACCTTCCCCAATGCATTTGTGAATCTTCTTACCTACTCTCCCTCCTATCTATCATATTAAAGTATTCAGAATGGCTTAGATCATCTGTATAAGATCTAACATGATTTAAATTATACTCAGTTACAATAATAAAGCCCCATAAATATTCCAGTTAAAATCCAGGTGGGTTAACCATTGAAATAGCAATGCCTGCCTGAAATAGCCAAACTTAAGTTTGGCTTGCTAGATAGTAATAATATATTATGGGTTAATTAGCATTACCAGGCAGGCATACAAGTAGTTCTCCAGTTTTTGCTATGGCTTCATTTCCATTCTGAAAGTTGCCCCTTCTCCCCCCCCCCTTCGGTATTTCTGCATGTTTGATGATCTGCCAAAGTTAAAATAGGGTGAATTTAACCCTGGGTATAAATTCTTACAAAATTATTTGACTAGTAGTAATTATTGCCTTCCTGAGATTTGAGATATTTTTTTTTTAGACAAAGAATATTTTTCAAGGTTCCTATTCTAACCCAAGCAAGATGGTTATTCTTTTTTAGCTTTTCATGCAACTCCAAATGTTTATAAGCGGAAAAATGTGGAGACCAAAATTGAGACGGAGCCTTGTGGATCAGACTGCTTTTTGTGGTTGGTATGTTGGATGGGGATTGCTGGGGTGCAAAACCAATATTACAGGCATTCATTTAAAATATAGTATAAGAATTGTTATGCATCCACCAATTGTTGTTGTCATAAAATATTGTACATTCTCAGGTAAATAGTAATACCTTCTATATCTACATCTGAAACATTTTAACCTGATCTGATTGTGTGAGTTCCAACCCATTAAAGCTTATGCTCTAATAATAAATTAATAAATAGATTATAGATTCTAATAGGCCCATTTTTATTTTTGATTTATTTTAATATGACCGTCCTTCATTATTAAAAGGAGAGCATGCCCTGTTACCCTAAAAATTAAACTGCTTTTCCTCGGACTTTCAGGTCTGGGACGCAAAAGTTCAAATGACCAGCAGGTGGCAGGAAAAAATTAATTTTCTGCATTATCTTACCATATAATTGTGGTACACACACACACACACACACACACACACACACACACTTAAAAAAAACCTAAAAGTCAAAAGAAAATATATGCAATTATGACATTGTAGGAAGGAAAGAAGGATGTCTTGATTTCATACCATTCTCCTGTCTTTATAGTACGTTTTTCACTGCATGATCCTCATCTGTTTCTAGCAAATACAGATTTTGTGTTTTTTTTTATTAAAAGTTTTACAATTTTACAATGATATCCCAACCCTCCCAAAAACCCTCCATCCCTCTTCCCAGAGCTGAATACAGGGTTAACAAGAATTAAAAATACAAAATACAAAGCATTTAAACTTAAGTAAACCTAAAACAAAAATTACATTAAAAAAGAAAGAAAAAAAATCCAATATATATATATAATAAAAAAGTCCAATATATATATATAATAAAAAATACATATTGTCTTAAACTTTAAACTTCAAACATAAATTATTCAAAAGCTAAATAATATCTTTTAATATCATACTTATACTGTATAAAGTTTATCCATCTTTTCCACACCAAAAGGTATTTCTCTTGCGATTGATCTTTCAAATAAGCAGAAATTTTTGCCATTTCAGATAAATAAGAAACTTTAAAAAACCATTCCTCCAAAGTAGGCAAAAATTCCTGCTTCCAATATTGTCCTATCAACAACCTTGCCGCTGTAATTAGATTTAACATTAAAATAATTTCTTTATCATTACAATCAACAATAATACCTAACAAAAACAATTGTGGAGTAAATTTTATCCTTCTCTTAAAATTTTTTTGAATATTCCACCATATCTTTATCCAAAAAGCTTTTATACTTTTACATGACCACCAAATATGATAATAACGTTGCGTCCAAACAACCACAGATTTTGTTTAAAAAAAGAATCTGCACCTGCAGGCTTCAAAATGACCATTTTCCTACACTAGCAAACCACAATAAAATACACTATTTCTTAGAGACCATCAGTTTCCTGTGTATTCAATTGTCCATACAATTGCTTCAAATTGCCTAAACAAAATTTAGTATACTTTGATTTCTGTATCTAGAGCAATATTGTACTTTCTATACAGTATTGTTCCTAAATCAGTTCCTAAAATTCTGGAGCAAGCACTTTGGCTCCAAAATTTTATAGCAAAGTCCATTGCCACTTGAATTTTTGGAATAAAATGAGGAAAGAGGTTCATTGGAAAAGTTTTATGCAGTCTGTAAATTACCCATTTTGTTTCATATGGTTGGTGTATGTTCCCTTCCTTTATGGGCATGACTAACTTATGACCCTCTGTAAAAAAAAACTTGCCCTTCTCTTCCTTCTATCCAGAGAACTTAAGTTAACTTAAGGCAGTGGGTCCTCAACACTATTAGTGCCACCACCAGCATACTGGATCCATGTCCTTCCTGGTTAGTTATAATATCTGAACAAGGCTGTATATTTCTAATTTTATATTGTTTTTAGGAGGGAGCCAAAGAATTTGCCATGATGCATAACCCTCGGTCAAAATATGCTGGACGGCGTCGACGCAGGAACCCCAATCTCAGTGCCACTGCCTCCACCAGTGCTGCAGCCTCTACAAGTGCTGAAGCAAAAGAAGGTGATAGTGACAGAGATACAGGCAATGACTGGGCATCCAGTTCCTCAGGTGGGTGAGGTTCCCCTACGCGTGGCTTGTGAAAATCGGGGATGGAGAAATTGCAGGTGGCCTCTTTCACCTTAGAAAGTGATATGCTCCAGCAGGCTCAAAGAAGAATAATTTCTTCTGTGGAATCTGTTCATATTTAATTTATGCCAGAGCTTGCTATCAGTCTGTTTTAGTGCCACACATAAGCACTAAGTGCCAGTCACTTTGTTGAAGAAAGAATGTCTTTCTGTCATCACAAACAGTCCTTGCCCAGCTGAGATTAGTAATTCTGTGACAAATGATACCACCTGCAGGTAAACATGTTTAAGAAAACAAGATTGTTGTCATGTTTGGGGGTTCCTTTTTGGTATATGCTTACTTTCCACATCTATTCATTTTTGTTGTTGTTGTTGTTGTTGTTGTTGCTCCAGAGGCAAACTCACGTTGCCAAACTCCAACCAAGCCAAAGCTGAGTCCATCATCTTCTCAACCCTTCATGTCTGATGTGCCTCTGGAGCCTGTAGAGTGGACAGGGGCAGAGGAGACTCTCTTCCGTGTTTTCCATGGAACTTACTTCAATAACTTCTGCTCTATTGCTCGGCTTCTGGGAACCAAGACATGCAAGCAGGTATGACCTTTGGTAGGCCAGGACTGGGCACGGGCATTTGGTTCCCTCACTTGGAACTCCCATTTTCAGCAAGTTGCATGTCTTGTTTGGCAGGTCTTTCAGTTTGCTGTAAAGGAATCCTTGATAACAAAGCTACCAGTTAATGAGCTCCTGAATCCCTCCCAGAAGAAAAAGAGGAAGCACAGGTATGTGTTCAGGGGCATCTAGCCAATAAGAAGCCATGCAAGGAATAATTCTAGGGCTACAGAAGTTCTTGGGGAAGACATAGTGACTGAGGTTGCCAAAAACTGACATAGTCTTTATGGACCTCTGCACCACCCTCCTTCCTTCTGAAAAAGTTCTGAAATGTAGCAGTACCCAATTCATCATTCTCAATTTTCTTATGTTGGAAAAGTTCCTGCCTCTCTCTCATCAAGTTGTTCCTTCATCTATAAGTTCCATTTTTTTATTTGAGAGATCTAGAAAGGAGGCTAAGGAGAGTTAGAGAGAATGCATATTTTAGAAATCCAGATTTTTTTTTTCTGTCTCTATGATTAATATTCTTTTTGCTCTTCCTTTTCCCAAACAAAGGCTCTGGGCTGCTCACTGCAGGAAGATCCAGCTTAAGAAAGGTAATGTGTTTCTTGCCTGGTTCTTCTTATTCTCTTCTTCTAGGAAAACAGAATGGAATATAGAAGATTTGTCAAAGGCCAGTCAGGCCAGGCTAGGCCAAGAAACCTCAACACTCCCTTTGTTTCTAAAATTTTCTCCAGAATATTCCCATCAGTTGATGAGACAGTGTTTCTTCATGACCTCTGATATCTAAAATTAAGTTGGAGAAGTATACTGTTTTAATACTAATAGCAGAATTCAAAATCCTAAATAAGGAAATTCTGATTGCTGACATCTGGTATTTTGAAAAGTAGCTTGAATAATCCATGCTAATACTGTTTTCTTGTCATATTCCAGCACTTGCACTAAATTGGTAAACCTGAAGTGGCCTTCTGCACTAAAAACACTGTCTTGTGCTGATTTAGGACTATAATATATGCAGCATTCAGGCTTCTTAGGCCCAACTCATAGATGTTCCTTCTTCCTGCAGACAATTCATCAACTCAAGTGTTCAACTACCAACCCTGTGACCATCCAGACCATCCTTGTGACAGCTCCTGTCCTTGCATTATGACACAGAATTTCTGTGAGAAATTCTGCCAATGCAATCCTGATTGTAAGAAACAAGACTCTCTACAAAGCTGCCTAATAATAGCTGAAGTTTCTAGCAATTTTTCTTGTGGCATACCTTCAAATATGTTTTTGTTTCCTTTGCAAGGCCAGAACCGGTTCCCTGGCTGCCGTTGCAAGACTCAGTGCAACACTAAGCAGTGCCCCTGCTATCTGGCTGTGCGGGAATGTGATCCAGACCTCTGCCTGACCTGTGGGGCATCAGAGCACTGGGACTCCAAGGTGGTTTCCTGCAAGAACTGCAGCATCCAGCGGGGCCTCAAGAAGGTACATTTCAGTCCCAAAACGGGAGGACAGGAGATCAGAATTATGAGTCTGCTATGGAAATGTGCTAGTTGGGAATGGCATAGAACTGATTTAGCTTAGGTGTTTTATTTTGTTTCTGCTAACTAATGTGAGAAACTGTAGGAAGGACTCAGACCCAGTTAGTTCTTGATGAGTAGTGTTGCTTGCACCGCTACCCATTCTCTGAGGTTTCAGCCATCTTTGCCAACCTTACTTCCATAACAGTAAGGACTGATTTTTTTTAACTGGACCCTCAATGTATTGGGATAGAAGAGAAAGTTGGCTACAGTATACCTTTATTTGGAGATTTTAAAGATAGCATTCAAAGAATGCTGCAAGTAAAGGATATCTTGTGGCTGGTGGACTAGAATATGGTATCCATTTGTTTGTCTCCTTTCTCTCCCCATCTTGTAACGCTCTATGTTTGTTCACTTGATCTACTTAATAAAATATGCTTCTGCCTCTTTTCTTCATAGCACTTGCTGCTGGCCCCATCAGATGTTGCTGGATGGGGAACTTTCATTAAGGAATCTGTGCAGAAGAATGAATTTATCTCTGAGTACTGTGGGGAGGTGAGTTGGAAAAATAGAACAAGACTTAAGGTCCACAAGCCTCTCTGCTGTAATCCTTAGTCTCAGCAGTGGTTAACAAGATGAATGAGAGGGCAGGTTATTTGTTCATCTCCTGAACAGCAACTCCAGCTTTGAGCTTACGAGCTGAAAAGAGGAACAGGATATCCCGAGGGAAATACATGTTTCTCCAGCATGTAGAGGAATATAGACTCCAAGGATGGGTTGATTTAGTCTTCTAGCCCAATCAGACCAAACAATCAAAGTTGCCACGCTTCTGCAGGGTGTGACCATGCCCCAGTTTTCGTTTGGTCTCAGCCCTGAAGAGACATGAGAATTTGGCTCCTAATTTAGATTCAGAAAGGTAGTTATTGCCATTCGTGGTTTCTCTATCCTTTTTTTCCTTCTTTGGGGGGGGGGATTGGTTCAGCTCTGAGCTCAGTGCTGCACCATTTCTTCTCTCTTAATTCCCTTCTCCGTGAGTTTTTCAGAGGCAGACAGCTGATCATAGATTGCTGCCTCATTACAATCCACCTCCCCCACCCCCTCCCAGGATCTTCGCTGTGAATGCGAAGCTTTAAACTACTAATTTTCAGCTGAAAACTGAAATCACCTTCTTAGGTTTATTACCAATTCAAACAACCTGCGGGCGCCATTTTGAGCCTCTAGAAGGCTCGATCCTCACACTACTCAAGTACTTCCTTGTTACTGTTGATTGTCAGCTGTAAATAACCCCCCCCCCCCAAAAAAAACAGCAGGTGAACTGTTTGACTAAAAGAGCTTATTATCAGATTACTTGCAGGAGAGGATCTTTTCTCTCAGCTTGTTTTATCTCTCATTAGATCGTCCCAGCCGCCATTTTGGGCTCCGCCCGATCGCACACATTAAATTGACTGCTTTGTCCTAATTACAGCCTTTTCAGTCACAAAGTAACTTACTTATTTGGTGATTCTCCCTAAGTGGGGGGAGGGAATAGGAGTTCTAATTACATTCCTTTAGATCTTCATTATCTCGTGCTTCAGCTGCTTAATAGGCACCATCTCAGGTTACCTAGTGGACATAGGGAAAATAACTTGAGTCTCTCACTCCATTTGATCTGGTAATATTCCAGACTGTGTGACTTACCAGTACCTTTTAAATATCCAGTGCCAACAGATTGGACAGCTGCTTGCCTTGCCTGTTTTCCGCTGTCTGCATAGTGGTTGGCACTTACTGTCCTAGCCGTCACTAAGTGAGACACGAGGGTCAAAAAATAAAAAAATAAAATAAAAAATAAATAAAAATCAATTAAAATAAAACAGAATTAAAATAAACAAGATATATATCTATATTCATATATAGACTTATCTTTAATTGATATTTGATACCTTTTTGGCCAAATTGTTTCTATTGCAGTGGGCCTGAAAAATTGAACAGGGAGGACAGCCCCTGAGTGTAGCGCGGCTTATATCACGTAGTGACTCCGTGCTTAACGGCGGGCCGGACCTCACAGACCCTCGTGCAGGCCTGTACCACCCAGGTGGGCCGTGGCCTTCCTTTTTCCTGCAGACCAAGGGCCGATCCAGGGATCTCCTGGTGAAAACCTGCCCTTTCTTCTCCTGCAGAACAGGACTGATCCAGGGATCTCCTGGTGAAAACCTGTCTTTTCTTCTATTGCAGTACAGGCCAGATCCAGGGATCTTCTGGTGAACACCTGTTGTTTATTTCCTATTATTTATTTCAATATGGCGGATAACACCGTTTCACAGGCTTCCACCTCCAGTGGAAATATAAAACGCAAGCCATGCAGTCTGGATACACCTGCAAAAGCCAAGGCCAAAGTCAAATGGACCTCTAAGGCCGATGACAAGCAAGCAGATAGCAGACATAGGGCGCTGGAGCGACAATTCTCCAAAGCCCAGCGGCAGACAGGAGAGACGCAGCTTATCCGCTCACCTCCTCTTGCATCCACATCAAGGGAGCATCGATCTTCCCCTTTTACACAGGCTTGGTCTCCCGAGCAGACCCTGGACCAGGGTTCCTTGCTGGGATATGAACGGGACCATCTGTCCCTCTTTGACCGAGAATTGAGACTACAGGTCCAAGATTCAATTCCAGCTGCTGAGCCAGGACCTTCCTCAGTGTCTTGTGGGTCTCAGGGGGAGGTTACTACAGTCGTCCCTCCCCCAATCCCTTCAGCATCTTTCACGCCGACGGCGGCGGGTCTTCGGGGCCCTGAACATCCTTCATTTATTGTCCAGCTCCAAGCCATGATCTCACAGGCGGTGGCTCAGGCAATGGCGGCTTCAGGGAGGGCCATTCCGGTCCAAGGACCGTCAACCCCCCCTACGCCCATGGAAACTAGGCATCCCAGGGAGTATGCGATCTCAGATCACGGTTCTCCACCTCAATCTGAAGGGAGCGAGATATCGGATTTTTCCGCTCAGATTCCGGAAGAAGGCATGTGGTCAGACGGGGAAGACATTCAGGCGGAGGCCACTCCTATGGTAGGGGTGTTTAATCCAAATTCCTTCTATCCTCTTTTACAAAAGGCCTATGTCACCGGAAAAATTGAACCCGTGAAACCACAGACGACCGATCAGGACTCTGGACAGAGTTCTGACCCACTGTTTCTGGAACCGGTCAAGAAGAACCTACAGATACCTTGCCCCTCTATGTTTCTCAAATCTATTCAGGATCAGTGGGGATTTCCTGGAAGTTTCTCTGCTCTTGGGGGATTAGATCGTAAGCTCTTAGATACGGTCCCTTCCCTCAACGATGTCCTCGAAGTTCCGAGTGTAGACGAGGCTCTCGCCCCATACTGTCAGACACCAAAATCCCAGGAGATATGTCGGAAGCCCTTAAGGCTGAGGACAAGAAGTCTGAGATTTCCCTCAAAAGAACCCATCAGGCATCGGCTTGGGCTATAAGAGCCTCAACATCTAACTCCTTTTTCGCTAGAATTGCATTAATCTGGCTCAGGGAATTACAGGCCAGATTATCCCCAGACGAAGTAAGGGTTCACCAGGATGTCACTAAACTAAGGGCCGCACTGGAATACATGGCGGATGTGTCTCTGCAGTCGGCCAAATATTCGGCTCGGGCCATAGCTTCCAACGTGGCTGCACGCCGGTTGTTCTGGCTAAAAAATTGGAAGGCCGATACGAGGCACAAATGGAGAGTAGCTGCGGCACCATATCAAAAGGGTCGCCTTTTTGGAGAGGCTCTCACTCCTTACCTGACTGAAAACAAAGAAAAGTTGAAAATACTAGCTCATGTTGTCAAAAAAACGGGCAGACGTTTTTCTCCATACAACCAGCGTCCGTCGTTCAAATCTGGCTCAGACCGAACTACATGGAGCGGGTATCGGCCCTTTCAAGCAGGGCCGGACCGCTCATCGGACCGGTCCGGCTACAGAGACAAGCCAAAGCCACAATTCCAGGCTAAGCGGCCCTTTCGCGGCAGAGGAGCTCGTCCTTTCCGAAAGTCAAAGTGACTTGAGGCGGATTCCTCCCATTGGCGGAAGACTGGCACTATATTTCCACAAATGGGAAAGTACCACCACGGACAATTGGGTTCTAACCACTATCAGAGACGGACTGTCTCTGGAGCTCCTCACACTCCCCCCTCAGCGCTTCATCTCCTGCCCCCTATCCAGAAATCCTGTGAAACAAGGTCTCATGGAGGAGGCCATTTGTCATCTGTTAAGCATAGAGGCAATAGAGCGGGTACCCCCAGATCAATGGGGACTGGGTTTCTACTCCATCCTGTTCGTGGTACCAAAACCCTCAGGAGGATGGAGGGTGATCCTAGACCTCAAGGCTCTAAATCGGGACCTAATTTACCAAAAATTCAAGATGCAAACTCTTCATTCTATTCTGGGCAGTATTTGGCCGGGGGATTTTCTTACATCCATAGATCTGACAGAAGCTTACCTGCACGTTCCCATACATCCAAATCACAGGTGTTTCCTCAGATTCAGGTATTCCAACCATCACTATCAGTACAGGGCCCTGCCATTCGGCCTATCATCAGCTCCAAGGGTTTTCACCAAAATCCTGGCGGTTCTCGCCACACAGCTCAGGTTGGTACCAGTCCGCGTTCAGTGCTACTTGGACGATATCCTAATCCAGTCCTCGGCACTGAACACCCGTTCAGACATGGCACTGACGATCAAGACACTCCAGGATCATGGATTTATGATCAACTTCCCAAAGAGCCATCTGATCCCAACAAACGGTTTGCTCCACCTAGGCGCAATAATAGACACCAGCCAGTGCTGAATTTTCCTGTCTCAGGAGCGTCAATTCAGCATACGTACGATGGTCACCAGGGTGCGCAAGGAGAAACATGTAACCCTGCTCCTACTGTCACAGCTGTTAGGGAAACTGATTTCATGTATTGCCATAGTGCCTTGGGCCAGGCTTCATACGAGACAACTACAGTGGTTTCTACTCCTTTACCAGAAACGGGGTGTAGCATGTTTTCCACAGAGGGTGCAAGTCCCACCACAGACACTCACGTCCCTCATCCAGTGGTTGTCCCCAGCACTGTCCAAAGGATCCCTGTTCAGAGAACCGACTCGGGTAACCTTGACCACAGACGCCAGTCTGTTTGGATGGGGGACACATCTGCAATCCCAATTCGCCCAGGAACATTGGTCTCAACGGGATCTCAAGAAAAATATCAATTGGTTAGAGCTCAGAGCCATACACCTAGCACTTCGCCATTTCCACAAGAAGTTGGCGGGCCGCCACGTACTGGTTCTGACAGACAACGTGGTGGCAAAGGCCCATGTCAACAGGCAGGATGGCACTCAATCGCGGATTTTAATGTCCGAGGCCCAGTGTCTGGGGTCATGGGTGGAACAGAATCTGTTGTCCCTAAAGGCGGAACACATTTCAGGGGTGGAAAACGACCAGGCAGATTTTCTGAGTCGATCTACGATAGATCATTCAGAGTGGCGTCTATATCCCCATCTCTTTCGGGAGATAACTCACCGTTTCGGTCGGCCCAAAGTCGACCTGTAGGCATCCCCGAAGAACACCCAGCTTCCCCGGTTTCTATCTCGGTACCCATCCCAGGGTTCGGAAGGAGCAGATGCCCTCTGCAGCCCTTGGCCGGCGGGCCTTCTATATGCATTTCCATCCCTTCCCTTGATCCCGGCCGTCATCAGGAAGCTGTTACAGGAACAGGTGGAGCTAATCCTTGTGGCCCCGTATTGGCCGAGGCGTCCATGGTTCGCGGATCTCGTGAACCTCGCTGTAGCCCCCCCCCTTGGCAAATCCCTCCAGAGAGGATAATTCTAACACGGGGCCATATGCCATCCAGACCCACAGTGGCTACAACTAGCCGTCTGGCATCTGAGCGCCAGTTCCTGATGTGCGGATCTTACTCTTCAAGGATGATAGCTATGATCCAAGCTTCCAGACGGCCGGCGACAAACCGAATCTATGATGCCACTTGGAAGAACTTCTGTGACTGGTGTACCTGTAAGGGTTTGTCTATCTCTTCTGTCACTATTCCAGTGATTCTTGAATACCTCATGGATGGAGTGGATAAAGGCTTAGCGCCCAACACCTTGCGTAGACAGGTGGCCGCTCTTTCCACGGTGTTCACCTGTGCCAACGCCACTCCATTGTCCTATCATCCCAGGGTCCGATCCTTTATGAAAGGAGTCTCCAACACCAGACCTCCGGTAGTACACAGGTATCCATCTTGGGAACTACCTCGTGTTCTGCAGGCACTCACTAGGTCTCCCTTTGAACCTGTAAGGTCTTGTCCTCTTCACATTTTGTCCCACAAGGTGGCTTTCCTAGTAGCCATCACGTCGGCGAGACACATGTCAGAGCTGGCTGCTCTTTCAGTTAGGGAAGACCTGTGTACCTTCTATCAGGACAGAGTGGTGCTGAGATTAGATCCCTTATTCATTCCCAAGGTGAATACCCTGATTCACCGGGCTCAGGACATTGTACTACCAAACTTTTGTCCCAATCCTTCTCACACACTAGAAAAGCAGTGGCATTACCTAGATGTCCGTAGGGCATTATGTCATTACATTAAGAGGACAGCTTCCTTTCGCAAATCGGAGGCATTTTTTGTCTCTTTCCACTCAACTTCCAAGGGACAGAAGGTTTCCTCCTCTACTATAGCCAGGTGGATCAAGGCCTGTATCGCTCAATTTTACCAGGCTTCCTCTTTACCTGTCCCAAGCCGCCTGACAGCGCACTCTACTCGTAGCACTTCCACATCGGTGGCGTGACAGACTCAGGCGTCCATAGAGGACATCTGTAAGGCGGCTACATGGTCATCCACTTCACCATTCATTCACCACTACAAACTCGACAAGTTTGCTTCCGCGGAGGCCGCTTTTGGCCGTCGGGTTTTACAACAAGTGGTCCATTTCAGCACCGACACTAAACCAACCTGCTTCTCACCCGTGGGATCATAGGGGCTTTGGTATGTCCCATCCTTGGAGTCTACATTCCTCTACATGCTGGAGAAGGGGCATTGTCTTACCTGAACGCCTTTTCTCAGCATGAGGAATGTAGACTCCACTCCCTCCCTGATCATTACTAGCAGCTAGGTTAGTGTCAGCAGTTCGGAGCCATCACGTCACACAATCATTCGCTTCACCCTTTTGAAACTGGGGCATGGTCAGACCCTGCAGAGGCATAGCAACTTTGATTGTTTGGTCTGATTGGGCTAGAAGACTAAATCAACCCATCCTTGGAGTCTACATTTCTCATGCTGAGAAAAGGCGTTCAGGTAAGACAACGCCCCTTCTATCTCTGGAACAGTAAATTTTGGGCCTTGCCAGCATTCAGATGGTCCTTGAAAGGTTGTTTAGTAATTGGTCAAGTTATGATGGACCCCAAAAATGGAACTTACAACTAGATTAAAGGTTCCAATGTCCATTCCCCCATGTAATCATATGATTGTATTTTGAGCATTTGGCAACTGGCCCACATTTATAGCCATTTGCTGCACCCTTACAGTCACCTGCCTGCGATTTATGATAGTTTTGCTGGAAACAGGCATTTACTTCCATTTTATAGCAAAAAAAAACAAAAAACAAATAATGGGTTCATTTAATGGCTGTGGCGTTCACTTTACCACCATGTTCACTTAACAGCTGCCACAAAAATATTATAAAATTGGGCACATTCACATGAAGACCCACTTTATGATCATTACAACTTATAACCAAAATTGTGGGCTCAATTATGTCATAAAGCAAGGACAATCTGCAGATGAAAGTCATTTATTAATATGGGCTTGTCACTTGGTCAACATTTAGATGATAGGACTTGAAGCTAAAAACTGGGCAAGCTGTCATTTTTGGTGAACAGTTGGCTGATTATGATGTTGGGGAAACTTTCTAGTAAACTTTTGATTAATTCCAGGTGGAGTATTTACCATTTTCAATACAGCTCCAGCTTCTTAACTCATAATCAGATTTTATAGCAACACCACAAGCATAGCAATAATGAAACATCAAAGTAGAGCAGAAGGGCAAGGAAAGAGAAGGTGGAATAGGCAGCTTTTATAATCTTTTTCGGGCTGAATTTATGGGGTGTCATTATAATGTTTAAATAAATTTGCTATGTAACTTGCCAACATTATCTGCAACATAAAATATATATATATAGTGCATATATGTAGAAAAGGCAAATCCTTTCGCCACCATTAATTATTTCTAGTTTTATAAAATGATACATTTGTTAGCAAATAAAATTCATGTAAACTATTTATGCTGCCCTGGAGTAAAATTCCTCCTAAAGCTGTTTTGTCTGCAAAATTTAGATTTGCTTCCAGGAAGAAATTGTTGCATTCCTTGATTCCTGTTCAGAATTGAGCAATTCTAGGGCAGTCCCATATTCATTTATCATTGCATTGCCAGAAATCAGAGCAGTGTGGCAAATTTTCCTTTAACAACTATAAATTATTTGTTAACAATGTAAATGAAACCAATGTGTTATTGAAAACAATTTCCACTTATGTTACAGCATCTTAAATTTAGAGCTGAAGTTTTAACTAAAAAGCGTACAGCCTTGTTTTGGGTTGGGAAGATAATGGTGATGATTTATTAAATTTATACACTACCCAATTCCCAGCAACTCTAATTCTTCCACTCTTTTTCATTTTGCATATTGATATGTACCACGTTTAACTATAGCTGTATGTCAGTAGTAGAAATCAACAGTTTAAGGAGTACTGATTCTCTTGTATGGGTTATACAAGAGAAGAACTAAGAATGGAACGACCAAATGTATTTATATCTATTTCAGTTAAGTATTGCCAGTATTGGGAATATATCAAGTAATCCATATATTTTATGTAGATAAAAAAGAATAAAAAATTCATTCCTTATCTACTGATTGATCTGAAATGTTAATTTGATTACCTATCAGTTTTTTACTTGCCAAAATGTGTAGTTAGCAAATCAATTGTTTAATTTTCTGCCCCCACCTTTATTGTTGCAAAATGGAAGAAAAGTTCTGTTTAAATTTTGTCTGCTTTGGAGGCACTATTTTCAGATTTCCCAATTCCTTGGGAGAAACTAAGCCTTCTAAATTTTGCTAACCTCTGACTTGGTCGTCTTATGGCAAGTCACAAATCATTGTCCATTGTGTTCCTTTTTCTCAGCTTATCTCTCAAGATGAGGCTGACCGACGTGGCAAGGTGTATGACAAGTATATGTCCAGCTTCCTCTTCAACCTCAATAATGGTAATTGACTATAGTGAGGTAGAGCTTGCGGATGTGATCTTCAGTAGGGGGTGATAAAGCAACTTGGAGGGAGCAGGCTTTAGAGTTCTGTCTTCTATAGCGTTCAGAGGTGGTTTTACATAAGTAAGTGAGCTTTTGCAGAGACTCCAATCCCTGTGAACTCTTTTTTCCCCTGACAGATTTCGTTGTTGATGCCACACGCAAAGGCAACAAAATCCGCTTTGCAAATCACTCCGTCAATCCTAACTGTTATGCCAAAGGTGAGACTCTTTAGGGCTCTGCTCTCATTCTGATGCAATAGACTCCAACTTGGAATCTGATGTTTTTAGGCAGACATCCTTGATTTGATTTTTACCCCAAAATGGGAATTCAAACATAGAAGGTAAGTGTGATGGGATATGTCTTGGATCAAGTATATTCAGTTGTTTAGAAAAAAAAGAGGGCATGTTGCCAGCCATTGTAATTACTGATTTTCTTTAAAATTAGAATATAAATATCTTCATCAGAAAATCTGGTCACAGAGAATTGTGTTCATAGAAGAGGTGCTTCTATCATCCCTTAATCATCAAAAAGGCAAAGGCAAAGAAACAGGATCCTAGATGAGAGATTAGATGTGATAAATACTTATATAAATAAGTTATTTCTTGGCAAAACTTCTTAATTCAGTTCCACAATTGCTAATAGGCACTGCTGAGAATTACATTCACATTCTAGAGAATTAATTTTGTAGCTTAGAATTCACAGTTTAAGAATGGTGGTAACAATCAACCATAACTCACACATTTCTAACTTATTCTAGGATGCAAAAATGGCTCTTTAGATCATCTAGTAATTGCGTCTATGCTAGATGAATACATTTGGGTTCTCAGGTGTGAAAATGATGCACCCTCAGTTTAGCAAATGACAGATTTGAAATTTTGTTTCCTGAAGGTTGGGAATGAGTGACAGTGGAAGCCTTGGCGGGGTGATTCTTGTAAAAATCTGGACAATTCATTCAGTCTCTTTTTTGACCCAATTCAGTGGTGATGGTGAATGGAGATCACCGCATCGGGATCTTTGCCAAGAGAGCAATTCAGGCAGGTGAAGAGCTCTTTTTTGATTACAGGTGAGTGCAATCTAATTCCAGTTTTCAAAGTTTCCAAGATATTGCTTGGTATGATATCTCATAAAGACCCATAATGTACTTATTCACAACAGTTTCATTTCTTTCCCAGGTATAGCCAAGCAGATGCCCTCAAATATGTCGGCATTGAAAGAGAAACAGATGACATCTGATTGAAATTACTGGCCCTCAGTGTTCGCAGCCAGTATCACTGCATCCTATTCATGCTGCTTTCTTTGTTGCTATATATATAAGGGTTTCATTGCACCTGGATTCCTCTTTAGAGAAAGGAAAGATCCAGCTTTTTCTATGGACTTGAGATTCTGATTCCAAGGCCACTTGACTGGCAGCTAGTGACACCATGAAGAGTTCTGCTGAATTACTATTAGGAGGAAGATGAGGAGGCTCTGAAAAGGCAAAGTGGTTTAAGACCCTTTTATATGCTGAAGCTTGTAAATGGATTTGATTCATCGGTTAAAAAATTATTTGAGCTGAAGAATGTATTTCTTTGCTCTGGCTGCAGGCAAATTTAGAGCAGAGATTATCTCAACACAAATGTCACTTGCAAAGAAAATCATAAAGTATTATACAGAGGCCAAGGGAGGGGATTAATTCATTTTTATTAATTAATTCCTGATGAGTTAACATTTGTTCCCAAACCTCTATAGTTCCTTTCCTTCAGTTAGTGACTTGTTACAACACTCTCTAATCCTATTCTCTTTCCCTCTTGGGTTTCATACTACACTTTCAGCAGTGAATTATTATTTTTTCTTAGTTAGTTTAAGGACTCACATATTTGGTTTTGTTCTTCTCTTAAAACATTAAATGTTTTTTTAAAGCCACAAGAGGTATTCTTGATACACATATGAAAACAGAACAATTGGGTGACGCAGCAGAGTATAATAGTCTTTTAAAGAGCAATTAATTTGTCACCCACTTTTAAAATCTATTCCCCCCCCCCATATATGTCCAAAACAATCAATTAGCATGCACTTTAGAATTATTTGCTCCATGAAGACAAGGAATTGGGCTCCCTGTGGGTTTATAAGAAGTGAAAATAGATTCAACTTCCATTGTATGGATTACTGTAGAAACCAGAAACTGACTTTCTCATAAGTTGATACATGACAGCTACAAATCAATCATAAAACTGGCTTATTATACTGATAAAATGTGTTTATTGGTGCCAGCAATAGTTTGAATTTACTACATGGGTAAGTCTCCTTGTGTGACATAGTAACATCAATGTCAGCCTTGGAGAAGACAGAAATGTAGTTTATGGAACTTGGCAATGTGTGTGTAGAATGAGATATACACAAACATGTATTAGCTACGCAAATAGCATTATTTGGCCTAAGAGTATTCAGTTGCTTCTGATCACGCCAGCCATGTAATTGTGAAAGTGTTAGCACTTCTGCACAAACATTCCATCTGTTCATTTCCTGGGCTGAAAGTGAGCCTGGAACAAATGAAACAATGCTAAATAGTATAGTTGAGCATATGTAGAGTGCCTTTACTGCTGGCTAAGCACAGCCTGCTGTCTACAATAAGGGAAAGAGTATATAAATGTGGGGGGACATAGTGTTCGTGGTCTCTTAGAAATCAAGGAATTCGGTGGCAGCAGCAAGCCCTCCACTACCCTATTTACTACTGCTTCACCTTTTCTAGCTGCTTAATAATTGTGAGAAAAATATCTGCTTAATGTAATTTGTATCTAATATGAGTGAAATTTAATTATTTAGAGCTAAATAATATAGTGAAATTAATTTCAGCGTGAGAAAAGAATGCCATGTAATTACTAGATTTAGTTTGCTTTTTTTTAAGCCATTTTTTGTCACTTGCAGCTTATAGTAGAATGCATTCCTGAGATGCAATTTAAAGTTGGAATGCTGCATTACTTTTTTTGGGAGAGCTGTCAGCCTGCTTTCTCAAAAAGCATCCTTAAGCACCTGGTTGAGTTAGAAATGTTAAGTCTTCTCAAGGGAAGAAGACATTGCTGTAAGAGACATTAATTTCTGGGAGAAAATAGTTTGAGGGACAATATGAAAAATGGTAGTGGACCTTTTGTTCAATTAAGTGTTATGTTCTTAGTTTGTTTTTTTTTTGAATTGGGAAAAGGGAAAAGCCAAGGTGCCTAGTCTTTAGCTACTGCAGTCATAGCACAGTGATGCAGCTTAACTGCCTCTGGCAAAGTTGTAACCAGGCTTATTGCTTAGCTGTTGTCTAGCATCCATACAGTGTAGATATAAGAAGGAAAAGGAGTCTCATGCATGCAGACCTGACTACTACCTGCAGACTAATAGATAGTACCAATAGTGCAAGAAGGGCTATCACCGCTTAATTTGGGCAGTGAGTTTCATGACTGATCAACCAACTTTCTGAAAGGTATCCATTGCAGAAATGGTTGGTCTTAAAAGTGATGCAGTTTAATATTTTTGTCAGGAGCTAGACCCGCAATACTATAGTTGGTGTTGTGTATGATTGCCTGTGTTTGCATCTTGACTCACAAAAGTATTGGTTGGTCTTTCAGCTGATGGGATGTTTAGACTTCACCTCGGTACTGCATAGTATTTTATAACACAAACATATATTGCTTAGTACTTCTCATATACTGCAGCTATCGAAGATGCCAGTTACTTATATAGCAGCAAAAACATTTATGCTTCCCCCACTTTATACTTCATTGAACTGCTTTTCTTCTAGGCATGGTGGTTCAGGAGCCAGCGGCTGCATGGCACCTCCATCTTCTGATTGCTTATGACTCTTAGCTTTGCTGCTGGTAACTTATGTGCACTTTATATTATCGCTTGTAAAAGTTTGTCTTAATAAAGGTGTAGTGATAGCTAAATAAAATCTGTCTCATGTCAAATTTATTGGTACTATTGGAGAATAAGCTATATTGGCAAACCAATTCCCATACATTCAAGTACAGGGGGGAGCAAGGACTACACAGCAGATTGTGTACACAGTACTGTTGCAACAGCAAGGTTACAGACTGTTTAAGAACATCCTTACCTAACTTTAATCCTTACAGACTATAGTTGATTTTGAGGATATTAAGAATTTTTGAAAAACCTCACATAATGAGACACTAATAATAATCACATACTTTTTAAGGCTATCATAAATAGAATGCAAAACCCCAAACAAATAACAAGCAACAGTAACAAAGTACTGCAATCTAGTAGATGGCCGGACTTTTGTAGCCTGGATAACGCAATCCTAATCCATTTGTATAATTACAGTGGCATCAATTATTTTTTCATTTAACTCCCCTAGATAGTGAACTTCTAAGGCAGTGATGGCGAACCTTTTAGAAACCGACTGCCCAAACTGCAACCCAAAACTCACTTAAGCATCATTGGGTGCTGGGTGGGTGTGGCCCATTGGCTGGGTTTGGCCAATTGGGCAGATGTGGCCCATTGGGTGGGTATGGCTGTAGTGGTAACAGCAGACTGGGTGGAACTAAAAAGTTAATCAATTCCAGTTTTGCAAAATCTTTTTTTTCCCACGAGAAGTTGAAATTAACTGATTAATTGAACCTTTTTTTTTTTTTTGCACATGGCGGCAGAGGCCTAAAGCGAAAAGGTTTTATAAAACCCAGCTGAGAGCCTAGGACTGGGGCAACAGCACCCGTGCCCACAGAGAGGGCTCTGAGTGCCACCTCTGGCACCCGTGCCATAGGTTCGCCTCCACTGTTCTAAGGGAAATGGAGCTTTACTTTTGAACAAAGCTTTGGCTGTAAAATGAATTGTGGCCCATCCTAATGCATGACTGATCACTGAGTGGGGTGGTCCCAAAGTGATGGTCCAAGTTCTTAGTCCTTTATTAATTTGGAATACTAATTTTCCAAAGGTAACCATTACAGGATGTAATGTGTCACTTCTGTAACTAGCTCAATAAATCCACTCAGTTGATAGCAACAGCATAAAAGATGTTTAAATACTTTGCAAAATATTCTCAGACAACTGAGTACAATAGTGACATTTTCTTCAGTTCCCAACTCCAGAAATGAATACTCCTCTAAAGAGCCACCACAAACAAATGCCCAATCTTTCAAGGGTGAGGCTGACACTACTATGAAAACTTATCTTCAGAAATTACCCTGCCGGCTTCTGCCTACCCACCCCACCCCCCAGGTTTCCCAGGAAAAGCTAACCCTTCAAAGTAAGCACAGGCTTCTCTTGACTCTGACTAGACTTGAGTAGAAAAATAATCTTGAAATGGGCTAATTTTTCTCAATTATAGACAACCAAAAAAGTGAAATGGATACCATAGGCTTGGGAGATATTAGTTCATATCCTCACTTAAGCAATCTTAGTTTTAGGTCAGTCAATCTTGGTCTTACTCTAGTGTTTCGAAGATACTTAGGAAGGACTATGTGCATATTAGCTTGAACATTCATGGAAAGAATGCAGTATGCTAGTAATAATTACTGCTAATATGAAATACGGCTGCTGTTATTTTTGTATGTAGGCAAGTCCATTAAAATATATATGTGCTTGGAGAAAAAGAAATTCTATCCATAACCATACAAAAATTTTCCCTCCCTTAACCCACACCCAAATATATATAACCAGGTAATTTATCACCCTGCTTTTTTCCTTTATTTTTACAAGTTACTTACTTTTTTCTCCCCAAACAACTCTTTAGAAAAAATAAACTGCCCAGGAAGACGCCCAAGCTTTTGGATAAAATAAGTACATTTGGCCATTGTTATAGAATCTTCTTATAATCCATAAGTAAACTTAAATAGGGAAAGAAAAGGGTTAGATGTTATTGGTAATAATATCCCTCCCCACCATACAACAGACTACAAAGCACAGATTATCACTTCACTTTTAACAGATCAGGATTTTTGTGTTTTATACAAACGATACCATTAAAAAATTAGTCCTTCTAATAGCTCACAACTAAAACATGAACAAAATGTAGAAAGAATTTTAAATTCTCAAAACCCCTGATTTATGAAGCAGCAAGTGTTAGCAAAGTGCAAGTGATTTTTTTTTGCATGCGCTATTGCTATACATACATACATATTTATATATATTAGCAGGCAAATATACCTATATTGCACATTGTTTTCTTTCAGGGCACAATATAAAGGTGCCAGGCTCTACATATGCTACAATTGCATGGCTTGACTAATGGCTTTTTTATGCTAAGCAATTAAGCGGGAAGACTATGTGCTAGCGCATCACGTATGAGAAGGCCAGCGTGAGTTTTGCATTGCATTTTCCCTTGACCCTTAAAAAGGAAGTGTATATTGACAGTCATGTCTTTCTTCAAATGGTGGAAGGAGCCGTGGAGTTTAGCTATAAATTGCTCTAGCAAACTGGAGATGAAACTGCAAGAAATGGTCACTAGTCCCCTTTGCCTTCCACCGAAAGAAGAAACTGCAGGACCCAAATGGAGGAAGGAGATATGAAAAGAAGTAGGCCCAGAGGCAGGGGAAGGGTTACTCCTTGAGGAAAAATAGGTATCTTTTTGGCAACTACCCAGGCACCAATTAAATCTTTTCAAAAGATACAAAATATATCCAGTTGGAATCAGTTGAGGCATTATGGCAGTCCCATAAATGAATGAACAAACAGATAACTAAAAACAATTATCCTGAATGAAATGGAGGGAGGCAGAAATATCTTTGATTATACACTTGCCAGTTAGGACTATGTCCAACTGGGAAATACAGCAACACCACAGGTTGTGCAAGTTGAACAAGCACCAGGCAGTTCATTACGCCGTGAAGGGTGGAGGCAGAAATCAGTCTCCCAGCAAGCGGCACAATTGGCAGTTTGGGTTTGGTCTTGCCAGGAGGCTGCAGCCAGCACCGAGTAGAAGATGAATCCCTCAGGCTCCAGTTGGCTATTCTGTTTTGGATTCTTCCAGGATCTGTGGCAAGTTTTGATCCTTCCGAGAGGCAACTGGCTTAACTGTGGGGAGAGTGGCAGGTTCAGCACTGCCGCTGCCCCTGGCACTCCCCCCACCACTACTACTTCCACCACTGTTGTAATCTTGGATGGCCTTTGGTTCATTGGTGTGGTAGGAGCCCTTGTAACGGTGATGGTGAAGGTACATCAAGAGAAGGGCTGCCGCCAAAAGCAGAAGCAGAAAAAAGATAACTGGGGGAAGAAAGGCAGAAACAGGGAAAGAAAGGGAAGAATTAGAATAACTGGGAGGGGGGGAAACCCAGAGCTAATTGCAGATGGAACCTAACAGTTTAATCTAGCAATCTCTGGGCTCTTCCCCTAGCTTTCACTTCCTTTTCCACTTTGATAACTCACCTCCAATAATGACTGCAACCCAGCCATCATCATGGATGTACAAGAAGTCCACTACAAGAAGCATAAAAAAAACATACAATTAAAACTAGATCTGACATACTCCTCCACCATCAGGTATTGATCTCATTGGTTAGTCCATCCATAAGTGGTCTCTTTTCCCTTCATAAAATCACCTTAGCCATGAAAGCCATCTGGCTGACCTTGGGCCAGTCACTCTCTCTCAGTCCAACTCACCTCACAGAGTTGTTGCTGTGGGGAAAATAGTAGGAGGGAGGTGTACTGGATATATTTGCCACCCTGAATTATTCCCAAATTTTAAGAGGTATCTATTCTCCTTCTAGCTACCCTATATACTTCTTCTGCCAAGGCCTCTGTGTGGCAGGTTCTTCTATGGGGAAACTCTTTGCTTTCCACACGCAGAATACCTTGCCTGCCTGCTATCCCAAGACGATGCACATGGTTTGTTCCCTATATATGATGATTGCTACTATAGGACTCCCTCTCTCCTAGGGTGCAATATCATTGCATCTATTTGAACAAAGTTTCACACTCAAAGGGAAAAAAACAGATATATCCCTTAGTGAAATCTTTGCCTTAAAAGAAATAAATTCTCACTTTTCATTTTTGGAATTATAGAGTAGGCACTCCAGGATAGGAACTCAGCTTTTTCAAAATTTAAGCTGCCTTACCTGGATCTATGTACCATGGGTCAAGTTCAGGAGGCACTTTAATGTAGGTAGAAGGCATAGAGGCACAGTTGGATTCTACCAGCTTTCCATTGATGGTGTAAGGGGGAATGGGATTGCTGCCACTAGAGCGAAATATGGTTTTCAGGGGCACAATGCTGTTGAATTTCACCGCTGAGATGCAACCTGTGAAACCTGGCGTATTGTATTTCTGGATTTCAGGATCAATCACTCCTGTCTCTGTGGACAATGACAGAGAAGGGGATTAACACTACTTGTTTCTTTCTTCTCTTTCCCTTTTTAATACACAGAAAAAGACTGAATTGAAACCAAAGGATGGGGATAGTGAGAAAGAAAAATTGTGGAAAAAATCTTTCCTCCTTCTATTCTTCTATTCTTATAATGAGCACTATCCATTTGAAAACAAAAGGACTATGGTAAGGGCTGTGAAGACAGTAGGGGATGCTGTAATTCTAATCTGGAGAATATAGGGAAATTATTTTATTATGTCTTGGAAGGCAAGGAGAGTGCACATTATGCAGATTATCCACATGGGAAAAAACAAGATTCAATTCAGAATCGGAAAAAATAGGGTCCTAAGAACTTGATTTCTTTTCATTGTTTTCTTTGCCTCTTTTCACAAAAATCTTCAAAGCTTTACCAAGCTTCTTTGTAAATCCAATATAGGAAAATTATCCAGGTCATTCACTTGGTTTGTTATTTATATCAGGGCTTTTCAACCTTTTCACCCATTGTACCACTTTTAGGATATGGCAACATCCGAGTACCATCAGTCGCGTAGCAAGGTGTCAAAAACTTGATGACCAGACTTCCGGTGGCGCTGCGTTGTGCCGATGGCAGCTACTTTGTAGCCATCCGTCTG